TGGCAAAACGTATGTCTCTTTCGGGAGCCTCACAACACGAGATGAGATTATCAAATGCACGTTCGACTTGCAATAGGCCAGAGCCTTGTGCAAATGGATCTAAATTGGGTACGTAAAGAGCGGTATTTTCAAGAGCCCTCTTCATATTATAAGGCGAGTATAAACAACCCTTGGCAAGGAGACCCGATATAAGAACCGCTAAAACGTAAAAGTTTGAAATAAGAATACTTGTACAATCATCTTTAATACATCACATAGACATTTTAATACACACCAACTGCCCCAGTGACATGTGGACTCGCCATACTTGTACCATTCATAAGTTGGCTTTTCCTAAGAGTAAAATTTGGAACGCTGGTGATGGCACCTCCTGGTGCACATACTGTTACACCAGCACCTCCATCTATCATTGGACCACGGGAGGACCAAGTATATGGCATGCCTGGCATCTTTTCTCTTAAAGAATATTCAGCTACCATCATATCAGGTGATACGTAAGCACCAACGCTAATAATACTGTTTGAATTGATGTCTGGAGGAGTGCCTATATTTTTTTCAAAGTATTTGGATATAAGACACAGAACGCATTAAAGCAATAAAATGGATTTTACGAAGCTGATACAACAGAGAGCGTATACGAAAGAGAGAATAATAAAATTCTATTTACCAATGGTACACAAAGCTGGTCCAAGATTGCCAGCGGATGCAACCCAAGTTACGCCATATTCGTCGATAACTTCGTTCATTAATTCTCCTATTCTACCTGTATTTGACCAATGAGCATGTTCTCCGTAGCTCATGTTTATGACATGAACCTTCTCTTTACGTTGCATTATATGAATCATCGCTCGTACTACAGAGGTTCCAGTTTCCATTGTGCCAATACGTCCATCGCCGACAGTTAGCGAAATAATCTGAGCTCCTGGCGCCACTCCATTCAATTCTGGATTATCAGGGAAATATGCAGCCGCGATTGATGCCACATGTGTCCCATGACTCGCTATAATAGAATTTAATTAAAAGCCCTAATAGAAAAATCGACATTTAATTTTGTAAAGAAAACTTCAATACGATTTTTTATCATACTTACAGCATAAACTAACGATTTCTAATGTATTGCCTTCATCATGGACATTAATACTAATGTTTAACTGGTCTTCTTGAGTAAGAGAAGCATAATCTCTCGTAAGAGAATATTCACCAAGAAAAATGCCAGTTTCCAGATTACCTACTTCAGAAGTATCAATACACGCCCTGTCATGAAAAAGATGGGCGTCAAATTAAACAAGTAAATATAACGAAAATATCTTACATTTTAAACAAATAGGTATGTACATATTTAGACTTATCACATACTCGGATGATTACCTCCAAATGTTACCATCGTAGAAAACAACGCAATCGTAAGTAGGTCCTACATCACAATACTTCTTTTCAATATGGTTCAATACTTCAATTCGTGCCTCAAATTCTTCCTTTTGCAGTCTTTCTTCCAGAGTCGATAATTGTGGATTTTTGCTCTCAAATTCCTACACATTATATATTTATCATTAATAATTAGCCAAGTATCAATGAAAACTTAATGCTGTATTGAAATAAGCTTATTTTGTAAATAAACAATACTTAAACAGAATAATAAACATCTTAATAATGACACGCAAAACTTTCGCTAATAATTTAGTTCAACATAACACACATTTGCAATTCTAAAAAATTTTTCTACACTGAGGCTAATATATACTTTTTGTATCTCCAACTTCTGACAACTTTTGCATGCTGTCGTATACTTAGAAATTAATATTTAAATCATGTACTATAAAAATAATACTAGCTACTAATAATGCTACATTATATGTAACTGCCATATAACAGGCTTAAGTAGATATTATATAATGGAATCAATGCCTTTACAATAGATCAATCTGCCAAATACAAATATAGCATTAGATACGGATCACGGTGACGTGTTGTGAAACAGCGGCCTCATTTAATTGCATGGTTTGACACTCCTATCTTTGGATCACATGGTCTAAAATTCTAATTATAATGCCAATCAGAGATATTGCTACTAATTTTCAGTCATTATTGCGACATGTCAATAATATTATGATTATATCAACATCAAGGAAAAATAGCAATTTGACATCGCAAAGCATCGAAAATTTCTAATAGATAAATCTTGAGATATCAAACAATGAGATGGGTAATTAATAGCAAAGGGATTTAGCTTAAGAATGACGTTCCATGTCTGAGCGACGATCGACTCAATCAACCGGTCCCAATGCTGATCCCATGTCTCAATTTACGCGAAGTTGTTTGGAGAGTTTTAAGGATTATGAACAAAAGAGCGAGGTACATTGTAACCCATTTTGAAAACAATAAATTAAAAGTATTAATGTATTGCATTAAAAAATATTATACCTGTAATTGTCTGAAAGCTTCCGCAAGAGCTGCTTTATGTCCCTCATCCCAAAGACGCTTCTTGCGTTCTGCCACCACTCTTTCCTTTAGTTTAGTAGGATATAACGAGTACAAATTCGTTAAACCAATATGATACTCTCCACTAGGGTTGTTCCAATTAGTCGGAACCTAAACATCGGATAGTACAATTTGTATATAACGTATGTGTTATTATAATAAATATATAACTTTAGGTAGTAGAGGAGTATGCTTAAAGTCACCAGTGATAAATACATTAGGAATAAAACTTCTTGTTGATCTAACTGGCAATGTATTAGTCAGGTGATTACATTAGTTACGACGTTTCGACCCAAGTATCAGGTCCTTATCAAGCAATCGCAGTGCAAACCAACATGTCACAGTTTAAAATGAATAAATATTAGTGAAAATACAAATTACAAGTCGAGGTGTATAAGTGTTCTTGGAGCATAAATTCCAGCAGACTCTCAGGTCGTTGTCGATGCAAGTTGTCAGAAAATTCTTCATGCTAAGCGAGCACATTCGCGTGTTATAATGTTCGGAGTTAAACTGAAGCCTAGGTAAAAATTAGGGAACAACAGATGATGACAACTGATGACACTGTCATATAATACGTTTAGATTTTCTGTGTCAGTTTGTAGGTTTATTGTGTTGTTGGTTTTTCCAACACTTATACAGGAAGTAACTTCACACCTATACACCTCGACTTATTATTTGTATTTTCACTAATATTTATTCATTTTAAACTGTGACATGTTGGTTTGCAGCGCGACTGCTTGAGAAGGACCTGATACTTGGGTCGAAACGTCGCAACTAATGTAATCACCTGACTAATATATTGCCAGTTAGATCAGCAAGAAGTTTTATTCCTAATATATAACTTCACATTTTGCCAGTTTAATGGATTTTACGTCTGCTTCCAACTGGCAAAAGTTTTTCTAGTTTCAAATTTTAGAAATCAAACGATACGCCGACTTTTCGCACAGCAGCGAAATACACCTAAGTAACGGAACGCGTTTTATAGACGTACCTTTAATTTACGGCCGGTCAGGCCAGCTATATATCCGTCTGGTGCTTGAACAACTTTGCTAGTATCTACATCCCCTGCTCCGCTGCAGTCAAATCTCTCAATAATTTTTGGTTTTCCGTCTGAAGTCACCTGAATCCCACACAGGGCATAATGTATTTACAAGGTAACAACGTTTCTTCCTTCCGACTTATTGTAGTTACGTACAAAAAGGGAACTTTTCAACAAGAATCAAAGGCGCAAATGTAACCGCTGATAATTATACAACCTTGGAATTTGCAAATTCAACAGATATACACTGTGCGCGTTGACAAAGACCGTGGGCATAACGCGAGAGCGGCTATAAATTTGAAATTATCGTGACAAATCTCAGTCGCGAGATAGCGTCTCTGCGACAGTCGACAGGACCTTCTCGCAACGTGACAACGGGGGACCGTCGTATCGGGGGCAAGGGACAGACGAACGGGCATGACTTTTATCTTCCAACGAAGATAGTCGGCGCGACGCAGGAGGGGGAGGGGTGCGGGGGGGCGGGGGCGAGGGAGGAGTGCAAACAGGGAACGAGGAAGGAGCCCGGGGGGGAAAAAAACGGTTATTCATCGTCGAGACGCGAGCATCGCCCCCGGGAGTCCCGAGACCTCGCCACTGGGCGTCGCGGGGCGGGGAGGGGAAAAGGGGGAAAAAAGGGCCAGTCCTGCGGGCGAAGGGAAGCAAAGCGGGAGGCGTGTCGAACGACTAACCAATGCTCGCGCCTTCCACCCTTCGGCTCGGCTCACCTGCATACCCGGGGCCCCGGGGTCCACCCCCGAGTCGAGGATCGCAATGACGACACCCCGGCCATCGTACTCGGGATACTTGGTGAGAAACTGAGTGACACCCGTCTCTTTCTTAGGCAGCAGGCCCCAAACAGGAAAGTTACAATCGATGATGTCTGCCATGTTTCGAGTGCCACTGCCACCGTGACTGCAGGAAAAACCACCCGAGATGTTTCCTTTGTACTGCCGCGAGCCTTATATATCAATCCGAGAGCGTAGCCTCTGCGCCTGCGTGCGCGCCGGAGTCCGGAGTGAGTCTCGCGGAGATGCCACACCAGAGTTTTTGAGGTTAGGTTAACGGCGGACGGTACATGCGCGCGGCCCCGACGGCCGAGGGTTTACGCGCCGCGTTTTTTTGCTCGTTGCGCGAGCACTTTGGTGAATAAACCGCGCGACTCTCCGCTCCGCCGGCGGTATATCACGTGTATCGCTGTACGGCTACGCTTTCTTTCGCGGTTCTCATTGCACGGGTAACCGCGGGTGATGAGAATGAAGGGAGCGCAATTTCACAGCTCGAATATTATCTACGATATTCGATATACCTGCGGCTCAAGATAATGTATCGAAGCTGACAAATAAATAAGATAAACGCGCGCGACCAAGTAAAGTATCGCGAATCGAACGCTACACACGCGACGGGGGTGCGAGCAGGTGCGAGTCTCACGAGCTCCCGACGTCACCGCCAGATGGAGACGCCCGTATCGCCGACCGCGGCGCGTCAATAAGCGCGCGCGCGCGTGTGCAGGTTGCGTCTCGCGGTGCGGCCGAGCGCGCGCACGTTCGGTCGGTGACGTGCGCCCGCGGAGGTTAGGTTATGTCTCCTGGCCCCTGGTGTGTGTATTTTGAAAAATCCGCGGCCGAACTGGCTCGACCGTCCGTACGCGCGTTTCCCGTGTGCTCGCGCGAGCCGAGCCGAGCCGCGGCGGGGGGTGACGTAAGCGCGGGGACCGAGTGAGGCGAGTCATGTGCGAATTTAAAGCATGGTCGTCACGCAACGCAAGATGAAGCAGGTCGCGATCTTCGCAGTTTGCGCGCTGCTGGGTGAGTCCGCGAATAGGTTAGGACGCCCGTGACGGAGGGTCGGCTCGAGGCCCGTTTTCCCCGTTGCCCCTCGCGAGCTTCGGCGCGTCGCGCGGTCGGAAACGCGCGACCGTCCCGGACGATCGCGGGTCTCGTCGCGCGCCTCGTTGCCGCCGCGCGACAGCTCGCGCGGACACCCCGAATCCTCCCGATCCTCGTCCGCTTCCCCGCTCAATTTATCGCCCGCGATTTATCGATGCCGCGATTGTTTTTTAATCGACGCGTTACGTTTGCGTAACGGTAATTATTATACGGTTCCGCTAGCGCTTCGCTGTCGCTGTAAAATGCTTAGCTGCCTGGTGCGTTGTTACGTTGTAAAAATAGCAGTGTTTTTTAGCCACTCGCGTGTTTATCTCTCGCGTATTGTATATGCATACATACTGCTCGCGTGGAAGTCGATAAAGGTCGACTCTAACTGCGATAAAACGAAACGTCCGATCGAAGAGTCCCTGAGAGTTGCGGGGATAATTCTCTAGATAGAAGGAGGGGCGAATAGTTTGAAATTAATTTCTCGATATTCTTTTTTTCTTTCTTTTTGCTCCCGCGTGGGTCCCGAAGCGTCGATAAACGGCGCCGACAGCTCGAATCACTGTCCTAATTAACCACCGGTTAATCAGATTACGCGTCGCGATCGCGGCATTATCGAGATACGATCTACGTAATTTTATCGATAACCGAACGTTTCGTCTCAGTCAAATTCCTTACGAAAAGAAGACAAACCGAGTGTCTTTTTGCCTCGATATTGACAAGTGCTGTCCCGATTATTTCGGTACATAATGTATAGACGAAAGTGCAATAACTGGAGCGCGAATAATAAAACTCTTCCGTTCCTTTGTTTTTCGTAAAACAACGAGAATTAATGTTAGAACGGTTAACTAATGTTAATAGTATTGTGAATACAAATAAATACTGTAACCAGGGTTGAGAAAGTTACTTTGTAAAAGTATCTAGTTACTCTGGGGGGAAAAAAGACAGCAACCCATTTTGGGGCCCACAATTAGTAGTCGAATTATTTGGATTGTTCGTAAGTCCACTCTGGGAAAAATTTTGACCGTTTTGCTTTTGTAGTTAAGCAACTTCATTTCGGTTAGTGCCACTTGAGTGAAAATTATCTTTGCGTTACTGAATATCGACTTCGGTTAGTGCTTCCTAAGTGAAAATTATCTTTGCGCTACTGAATATCGACGGAACTAATTGAGAGAATGGATTAGTATTACTTTCAAATCTTGGATATTGATAGAACAGCTAATTGCGATTTTTATAGTTACGCGGGGTAAAATTTCGCAAAAGATTAGAGTTACGGACAATCCAAATAACTCGATTACTAATTGTGGGCCCCAAAATAGGTTGCTAACTGTCTTTTTTTTCCCAGATTACAGTTTTTTCCCTAAAGATGTAACTAGTTACAGTTACAAGTTACCAATTCTGAAAAGTAACGCGTTACAGTTACTTAAAAAAATATCAAACCTGCATTTGAATTGTAAAGTGCCGACAAAGGCGTTTATACGCAAGGCCTAATGCGATCTGTGGAGGTTTAAAATACATATTATGTAACTATTAAATTAGTTACTAGTTATCGAAAAAATGTCATTGAGTTAAATACCCAAAAAAAGCAACTGTAACTTCGTTACAAATAACGAGTCCCTTCCCAACCCTGAATATAACTGATATTAATATTACGAAAAAACAAGTAAACCGACTAATGCTCGTATTCAAACTTAGATCGGGGAGCTTCCTCAAAGTGCGATTATACGCGGTATGTGCTTCAAGTAATTATGTAACATTTGGCTGTTTGCGCTGAGCACCACTGAATGCCGGGCGAGAGTCGGAGAACAAGACAATTGTAGCGGTGGGGCGGGCGAGTCTTTTGGGCATTAGCCGCTGCGGTTGCCTGTGGTCCATCTTAAAGTAGACTGTCATAACGATATAAATGAAAGACTTAAAGCGAAAAGCAAAAGGTTTACCGCTTCATCAGTCCAAAGGTTTCGCTGGGGTGTTAGGACATCTGTTAGAATCTATTCAATTGCAAATACCTCGATGAACAATGCGAGTTTAATTTCTGTGCGAGTCTTCCGCGGTTCTCGGTTTGTTTTTATCCTCTTCCTACTTTTTAACCGAGAAAAAGATATAATCTGCATTGGTAGAAACAGACACGAGTCCAGTTGCAGGATATAGAGAGAGGAAAGTCCCCTGTTATGAGACGGGCATAAGAGACAACGGGGTTTCTATTACATTAACTTAAGCATCATCTGTCGGTTCCGCCATGAATTTATGGTCTTGAAGTAAAATCTGTTTAGTGAAAAATTCATTGTTGGATTGTGTAATCGTTGCGAAAAAGGATTTGTGATTTTGGATGTTGAAAACCTGCTGTCTCATATTAGAGCCTTTCTCATAATAGGGGACTTCCCTCTATTCGCCTCTTGCGCATATAAAATTTACATTTCGATTATTCTTACGATGTCATGTGAATTATCGTGTCGCCGTTGAAAACGCAGTACGTGCAGAAACAGGGGCTTGATTCTTGAATTCATTCGAAGGAGAGACTTGTGCGAAAATGGTGCTCTTACAGAAAAGATGCAAGTCGATTGGCTATTCGCATGGTTTTTAGCCATTCGACTTTCAACTTTTCTGCGAGAGCAGGAATTTCGCATTTACGTTTCTCCTTCGAATGAATTCAAGAATCGAGCGCCAGGTCTGCACAATCTCAGATTCGTAATATCGTTTTCTATGCTTGCAACAGTTCTGGGCTTTTACAAGACTCTGGTGACCACGGAGGAGGAGCGATCTTTTAATCGTGGTCGACACCGCGCCGTACTCGGCGGGAACAAAGCTAGCTTAGGCGACAAGAACGACCTCGCCGAGGTCGCGACGCACAAGACCCGCGATGCCGAGGACGAGCCGTCAGACGGGGACATCAGAAACATCGAGGAGGCGAGGGTCCGGATCCGCGAGCTGGAGGGCAAGCTGCAGCATCTGGAGGCGGCGATTAAGAATGGCGTGGCGAAGGACTTCCCGACGGTCAAGTTCCTCAACTACAAGAACCGGAAGCGTATACTGGTGACTGGCGGCGCGGGTTTTGTCGGCTCCCATCTGGTGGATCGTCTGATGCTCGCCGGCCACGAGGTGATAGTCGTCGACAATTTCTTCACCGGCAGAAAGCGGAACGTCGAGCACTGGGTCGGCCACGAGAACTTCGAGCTGGTGCATCACGACATCGTGAGGCCGCTGTACCTGGAGGTCGACGAGATCTATCACCTCGCCAGCCCGGCCAGCCCGCCGCACTATATGCTGAATCCCGTGAAAACGATCAAGACCAATACCCTGGGCACTATAAATATGCTCGGTGAGTTCAGCACGCTGGCGGAGCTGACGATATGAAAATGGAGACGCCTCGAGGTGTAACGTTGTGTAATCTGTCGACGGTATTTCAGGACTCGCCAAACGAGTCGGCGCACGAGTGCTAATCGCGAGCACGTCGGAAGTGTACGGGGATCCCAACGAACATCCGCAGGCAGAGACTTACTGGGGTCACGTGAATCCCATCGGTAAGATTCTGTGCGATGCACGGGGAAAAAGAAGTTTCTCTTAAAATTTACCTTGGAAACCGTGGGACAACATGGCATTTTCAACAACTTTATGAGAATTTTACTAATAAAATGTATGGTAAAATTTCAGAAAACTCTCATAAAGTTCTTTAAAATGCCACGTTGTCCTACGATTACATGATTTTCAGTACAAGTTTTAAGGGAAAATTCTCTCCGTGTATAAATGTTAGAATTTTCCTTTTCCTTTAATTCTCCTTTAAATCGCTAAGCGGTAGGCACTTGGATGATCGGCGTACTGTTGGCACGTAGGTCCGCGAGCGTGCTATGACGAGGGAAAACGGGTCGCCGAGACGTTGAGCTACGCTTACATGAGACAGGAAGGCGTTTCGGTGCGGGTCGCACGAATTTTCAACACCTTCGGCCCCAGAATGCACATAAACGACGGCCGCGTTGTGTCCAACTTCATCCTCCAGGCTTTACAAAATGATTCGATCACGATTTACGGCAGTGGAAAACAAACACGATCGTTTCAATACGTTTCCGATCTGGTGGACGGGTTGATCGCACTAATGGCGTCTAATTACACCCTACCTGTGAACATTGGAAATCCTGTGGAGCATACGATCGAAAGTAAGAGCCACCTATTATCCTAATCACGTTTCTCCCGATATTTGTTTGCCAGCGTTTATTAAAGTTTAATATTCTAATTTGTCTCAGAATTCGCGCGTATAATAAAGGACTTAGTGGGTGCTACCAGTGAGATAGTTGAACTCGCGGCGGTCGAGGATGACCCGCAGAGAAGAAGACCGGACATTAGCAGAGCCAAAAAATATTTAAACTGGGAGCCCAAGGTTCCTTTAGCCGAAGGCCTGAAGAAAACCATAGTGTATTTCGCGAAGGAATTGCAACGGACAAGGCATTCTCAAAAGAGCAGTTTCAAACAGTCTTCTTACAAAAACGATCACGATATTGTAGAACAACTCTAGAAATTCAAGTGTAACGATACGTTTATGTATCCACTTTCAGAAGTGGCGTGAAAGTGCCATTAAGCTATGGACCAGTATGTGCCAAAAAATCCCCGTCCAATTTGAATTTTAGATAATTTATGTAGCAATCAACAGACATATACATACAGGGTGTCAAATTCTTTTGTGATCATTCCAAAAATTATAGTAGATTAGATCGAGCTGAGAAGAAAAGTTATATACCATTTTGCAAAATTCATAATAATTCTCGTGTAATTAAGAAAAACGTCTGAGCGAATAAGCGCACGGAGGAGCGGAAGGCCGGACTCGGCAGACATGCAAAATGGTGTATTTGTTGACATGTCTTAGGATCCGATAGTGAGAGGTGGAGTCGTGCATCAATCGATGAGGACGGCGTGGAGCGGAGAGCAGCCAACGGCGATTGACGCGCGGATAGCTCTCGCTCTCGGATTTTTCTTAATTACGCGATAATTATTACGGATTTTGTAAAATGGTATATAACTTTTCTTCTCAGTTTGACCCAATCTACTATAATCTTTGGAATGGTCAAAAACGAATCCGACACCCTGTATATACACATATACAATATGCGAGCAATCTCTCGAATTTCTTCCGATTAGGTGCATGTGTCGCATGTTTTCAAGAAACAATAATTTAAAACTACTTTTCTTTTTCCATGACTCCCTCTCCATAGCTCTCTTCCTTTTCATTACACTTTCAATTCCAAATATATATTTTAAAATATACTAATACTACATAAATGTAATTTATACTATTTATTTTTCTCTCTTTTATCACTCCGACATGAAAGTGACGTTGTCTATTGATCTATTTGTCAAATCTGTACACCAATTTTAGATAGGCAAATATTTCCTTTCTTTTATCTCATATTTTTCTATGTACTTGTATATCTAATTTTCCTAGACACAGAACTGAGAAATGGTGCTGGTGGTATAAGAAGATATTGTTTTCCTTCTTTATATATTGTCGATCGTATAGCATGAAGTAGTTTCGCTTAGATACATACATGTAGTTAGGAAATTTGCTTTCGACTCATTTATTATAGTCGTAATAGTGATATTATTGAAGACATATTGCAATAAAACTCTAAAGGATATTTATGTTATTAAGTTATTCAATTATAGCAGTAATGAAAAATTGTGGACGCTCTTGTACAATGCAATTGAAACTGATGGTATCCAATGACAAAGTAGTATTTGTAATTTATACTATAGTTATACGATACATAAAATAGATATAGTATGATCATAAACTGTGAGACTGTGTAAGAACAAACGACGTATAAGCGAGAAAGTAATTTTATATTTTATATATAAGTGTAGCGGAAATCACCTTTATGATAATGTACTCTTTACAACGTAACTGGTATAATGTGATTAATTCGTACGTTGTCGCTAACGAGAATTATGAAATATCAGTTTATCGCGGCAAATTTCTTTCCTACCAACATGAAAATAAAAATGATATGTGAAATATTATGTAAATAATTAAGCAAGTGTATATGAAAATCTCTTTGTATCAAAATGCAAATTACGAAAAATATAACGATATGTATGCTGAAACGAGTACACTTTAATATGTATAATTAAAAGTCTCTATATTTAGGTTTAATCTTTATTTTAGTATAGCGTTAGTTTTCTCTCGCACCTTTCTTTCTCCTCTTTTCTCACTAAAACGTAATTATCGCGATCGTTTTGTTGCGTGCATAAAAGATAAAAAGGGTATCAAACGTTAACGAATTCAGGCTGGAAATCCATTTGAGATTAATTCCATTAAATTTAATTCAATATATACTTTCCTAAATTGCGCAAGTTCATAATTTTCGAAATGAAATTAAGCCGTTTCTCCGTTTCCCGTCGAATCCCTCATTTTTCTCGAGCGACTAGACGGTGTCATCTCGTTGTGTATAATATGAAAAGTCATGTGCGAAGCGACGCATTCCAAGACGGATGGAATTCCAAATGGGAGAATTGTCCGTGACGCTCAGAGCGACTATTTGAAGGGCCGATTAGTCGCAATGAACGTGGGCCATGACAGGGCGCGCGTGGTCGGTCGTTGTATCTCTTCGGGAAAGACGAACGGAAGGTGAAAGGAGAAGTAAATGGAAAAGAGGAAGACGGAGAAGCTAGGCCCGATTATTGTTAATAATGATCGCGTCCGGGATATACGGCGACTCGGTTGGCGCAAACGAGAGCGCCGCAGGGTGACGATGACGACGATGATGTAATCGTTGCAAAGGCGTTTGTCCGTGTCGAAACGCGAGGAGCTCGTCGTGAGCGACGCGCATGAGCTTAAAAAAAAAAGAACAAATGAATCAATCCGGAGCTATTTGTCTCAGCCGCGATTTTCCGTGCGACTTGGAAATAAATTTTAAATAACAACGGCCGTATCACACCGGTGTCCATTCTCTCGTGTATCATTAGAGAGACACGTGTCGACCCCACGTTACCCGCTCGGGGTGTAAAATGCACCCCAGCCTGAGAAATTATCCACTAAATTCACGGAGCACGACTTTTTATCGATCGTACGATGCACAAATTGCTTCACGATTAAGAGGATCTCACATTGACCTTTAGCGGAACGTTATATATTTTTTAAAGAGACTCGCAGAGCGACAAAGCGAGCGGAGATTCTACTTAATATTTTTCGAAAGTAACAAATTAGCAACAAATTCTTATATTACAATTGCGTTGCTATATTGTTCCTAATTTAACCTTCCCTCAACGAAACATTCCCAGCAAACACCAAAGTAACAATTACATAACATCAATGCAAATGTAATATAACAGGCGTGCGTACCTTGTATACTTTTGTACAAGATTGCTCCGTTTAAAGAAATCATTACGATCGCATTAATAATGCGTAAAAATGAACTTTGTATTTTTTTTTATAAATAAAATGATGCCTCTTTTTAGATTTAACTTAATGTCATCCGATTAAAACAAACTAACCACCCCCGCCGATTCCAGCTGGAAGACTAATTCACAATCTCGATCTCGGGACAAAATCACTTTATTTTCGGAATTAATCAATGATATCTCACAAACTAACGATCCGAGACAAGCGATTCTCATTTCGTAAAAAGCACTGGAATCTTAGCTTTCCAAGGATCCCAAGAACATCTTACTACGATTTTTCTGTGCAAAGATATTGATGATAATATGGCGATTCGCGATCTCAACCTAGGACAGAAGCAGCATACGGCGCGTATATGCGTCGTTTCGCGCGGCCATGTTTTACTACCGAACACGTGCGCCTCTCGAGTTTTTATGCCAGTTTTTTGGGGATTATCGCGCCTGCAAATTGCATACAAAAAGACAGCTCGCGTTGACTCCTTTCGTGGTACTTAAAATCTTAAAAACACGTGTTTTCACACCAGTGATTTGGGATTAAGGAGGACTAGCGCACCTTCGACAACCAAAAACTCGGCCTTCTTTACGGTGCGCGCACGCCGGATTTTTAAAACTCTATAACGGCGAGAAATCGACGTAGCGGCACGAGCAAAAAACCACTGTTCTTTATTTCGCATCCCGCAGATGTCTACGTTGAGTATGTATGCTCTTATCACGAAACTTATACTGCCACCCAAATTTTGACAAATAAAAGAAGTCAAGTTATTTTATCACATCACCTTACATACTCCATCGGAGTGGTTAATATTGACCACTCGTCGTATCCAGTTTTGCTTCGTTGGGCCAGTTTGGACATACCTTTTGTTGCTCCTGCGCCAGATGCCTTTTCTAGGTCTCCTCCACTTGCAGATTGTCCTCCGGCACACTCGCGAAAACACAAAGATCGTTCGCGCGATTTATACACACTCCCGTTTTCGAAGCCCACGTGAAAGTATGTATTTTGTTCCGTCAAGTTCGCCTCCACTTCGAGTCGACTAGTATTATACCCGAAAAACTGCCGAATCTCGGAAGTGTGGCCGTCGACAGGAATGGACGTTTAACGAATACTTGTTTCAAACGGGCTTCGAAAAGTCTTTACTTCGATTATTTAAACGGCACTCCCGAACGCGACGAAAATGGAAACTTTATGTTATACGCGCACTTTTGTATGTATAAATGTTGGAGAGTTTATTTCTTGGCGAGCGATCGGTATCTTATAATTTTTCGTTATCATTTTACCCGACGTGAGAGAGATTCATCCGAGTTCGATTGTTACAAAAGGTATTATCGCTCGCGGATGTATCGAAACTAATAATTTATATGCATATGCAAGTCCCTTATCGCGCGATATTCACCTCGACAAATCACCGTAGAAATCAACGATATGATTACGGATCGCGACAACTACTTAAATGCGATTGACAAATATTAATATCTCTCGTACGAGACGATCGCGTTGCGCAGAAGTTGATCGAGATTCTCGTAGAAAATAACGCGCCACGTGGGGCGACGCGACGACACGCGGAATAAGCGCCTCGCTCGACTGACTCGCGCCGAATGTTCGACACGATAGACTGTTTTCAACCGAAGTGTTCACGGCGCTACGTCATTGGAACCGGTGCGCGGGACCGAATTGTTTACGTTGCCACGTCATTTCTTGGAATCCGACGCTCGGTCTACGGCGCTCGGAAAAACAAAGTCACGCCGTACGCAGAATTGTTTACGCGGCGACAGTTGAACGAGCTAGTGGCCCGCGCCGCTCCGCATTTAGTATTACTTTTTGCGCGTTCGCGACAAGTACGGGAAGAAACCGCCATCGTTCTCCGCGAATAATTAGCGAACGATATCGTCGCGTGATCGCTGAATCCTCGCGATTTGCCATCGATGCCTCGGTTACCGAGAGTGAAATTACGTTTTCATTGCGACGATTGCTTCTTCGAAACGATGCATCGTATTTGGACACATCTCGTATCATCGCATTGAGTCTCTCGTCGCTTCGAGTATAATTTGTTGGCTGTCTCTAACAAGTTGAAAACGCGAAATAATACACGAAACACTGAATCGAGTGCTTTAACTAAAATTTATCGGTGATTTATTAATACTAGTAGTTTATGTAGTTTTTACGGAATGGATAAATGAAAATACATGCGCGACATTGAATTTTTAATTATTTTCGGACGATTGTGTCTCGATAAATTGTTAACTCAGTTGCGTTTATTATACGATGTCGATGTTAAAATCTATAAACTTCAAGTTTTTCGTTTATTAA